CTGTATACGTTATAGACTTACCTCTCCCACTTCTAGGCCATCAATAAAATATAAATAATATAATAATACAATATAAAACGATAATAGCACACATTCTGGCTGAATCGGAACTGACACCACCTCATGAAGTTCTTCAAAATATTTAGACTCTTGCAAGAATCTCATGGACATATCTTCAGTGTTAAAAACAATTTTTTCTACATTCAAAAAGACATACGCTTCAATGCTCTCCGTAACTGAGCCAATCTGATTGACTTTCAGCAGCAAACAGTTGCAGGCTTTTTTATCTAATGCAAGCTGAATTCTCTTCGGATTTGTGCACAGCAGATCGTCACTATAAAATAACTGAAATATAATCGCAAAACCATATCGAACATAAAAATATTAACTGCAAAATTAAAACATTTTAAAAACGTTTTTTTGCATCGATATCAATGACGCTGTTCAAAATTTCTATGTACTTGAAAATACCTTAAAATCAATTTTTTGCACAGGATTTACGTAGTTAAAATCGCTCTACATCGTGCGAAAGCGAGCAGTCAAAAGACAAAAAGCTCATTTTGTTTATTTGGATATAACAATTAAAAAATGCTCTCTCTCTCTCTCTTTTAAAAACCCTTCCAATGAGATTAGTAAGAAGATCAAGAGCTTATTCTCTCGATCAAATTTTGGTTTTAAACTACCAAGAACAACTATCCTGCATTCATAATAACGTGTAATCAAAGTTACCCAACAATCTGAATATCAGTCTCTTTCAGGAATGTCGACCAACTGTCCCAGTCGTCCTGATCAAACCAATCCTCGATTGAAACAACTGGATAATTCTGTATGAAAGACTTGTAGAGCTCCATCAACTGTGGACCAGTTTTCTAAAGGTAAATGTAGAAACTAAGTCGATATAAAAATACATTAAACTGTACCCATTGCTTCGGGTCGCTCTGTGGATTCTTAAAATCCAAATCATACACCTTCTTTCCATCATGCTCTTTGCAAAACTCGGAAGCAGCAACATCCATTCCAATCTTTACTTTTCCGTCGTAACCAGCTTCGTGAATCGCGTCCTTCAAGAGGTCTAATGCTTCCTTCGGGTCTGGAATATTTGGTGCGAAACCACCTTCGTCACCGACTGCAGTGGCATCCAAGCCATAGCGCTTTTTAATAACGGATTTCAGCGTGTGATA